AATGTAAGTTTATAACCCAAAGATCTCGGTTCGTTTTGATATTCGTGCATATCGGACCGTAACTTCCTGAATTATGGCCCCTGATTGTACGAAAAATCACGTTTTTAGCTTGTTGACCCTATAGAAGTCATAATTTTTATCCGATTTAAAAAAACGTTCTATCATGTCACCGTTACACCCTAAGGATGACTGAGTTCGAATTTCGTGAAAATCGGCCCAAAATTGACAGACAAAATGTCCGCCATTCGTTCCCAAATAAGCGTAAGAATATGGTATATCAAGGTTGTGGATCCTATAGGGGTCACAATTTTTATCCGATTTTGTTGAAACTTGAAATGTAAGTTTATAACCCAAAGATCTCAGTTTCTTTCGATATTCGTGCATATCGGACCGTAACTTCCTGAATTATGACCCCTGATTGTACGAAAAATCACGTTTTTAGCTTGTGGACCCTATAGAAGTCATAATTTTTACCCGATGTAAAAAAACGTATTATTATATCACCGTTACACCCAAGGGACGACTGAATTCAAATTTCGTGAAAATCGGCCCAAAATTGACAGACAAAATGGCCATCGTTCGTTCTCAAATAGCATAAGAAAATGGTATATCAAGGTTGTGGACCCTATAGAGGTCACAATTTTTATCCGATTTTGTTGAAACTTGAAATGTAAGTCTATAACCCAAAGATCTCGGTTCCTTTCGATATTCGCGCATATCGGACCGTAATTTCCTGAATTATGGCCCCTGATTGTACGAAAAATCACGTTTTTAGCTTGTGGACCCTATAGAGGTCATAATTTTTATCCGATTTAAAAAAAAGTATTATCATATCACCGTTACACCCTAAGGACGACTGAGTTTGAATTTCATGAAAATCGGCCCAAAATTGACAGACAAAATGGCCGCCGTTCATTCTCAAATAGCGTAAAAATATGGTATATCAAGGTTGTGGACCCTATAGAGGTCACAATTTTTATCCGATTTTGTTGAAACCTGAAATATAAGTTTATAACCCAAAGATCTCGGTTCCTTTCAATATTTACCCATATCGGACCGTAACTTCCTGAATTATGGCCCCTGATTGTACGAAAAATCATGTTTTTACCTTGTGGACCCATTAGAGGTCATAATTTTTATCCGATTTAAAAAAACGTATTATTATATCACCGTTACACCCTAAGGACGGCTAAGTTCAAATTTCATGAAAATCGGCCCAAAACTAACAGACAAAATGGCCGCCCCTCGTTCTCAAATAGCTTAAAAATATGGTATATCAAGGTTGTGGACCCTATAGGGGTCACAATTTTTATCCGATTTTGTTGAAACTTGAAATGTAAGTTTATAACCCAAAGATTTCGGTTCCTTGTTTTTGATGCATGCCCAACCCTCAGGGTCAGAGCCACACCCATTTTTTCTTTGTGTGACTGTGTGTTTAGCCTACAGGCTGCAGTTCTTAATGGATCGTCTGATATTTTTGGTGCATGCCCGACCCCTGTCAGGTTCCAGGATGATCCATTCAGAATCGCATCCCATAGGTGATAAACCTAAAAAGAAATGAGCGTTGTTGTGCCCCTGCAGGGTCGGGCATGCACCAAAAATAATAGCGGTCATCCTTAAGGTATAAGAAAAAAGTATGAAAAGTTTTCAAGATGATCAAAACACACAGACACACAAAGAAAAAATAGGCGTGGCTATGCCCCTGGGGGCTGGTCATGCACCAAAAACAATAACAATCATTCTTAGGGTATTCTTAGGAATAAGTATGCACAACTCCGTTAAGAATTGTTGCTTGTAGACGACAAACTGACACATACAAAAATTGAGCGTGGCTCTGCCCCTAACAATAGGGAACATACTTAGGGTATAAGGAATAATTAGTATGCAAAGTTTCAAGACGGTGCGTTAAGAATTGCGGCCTGTAGTTTTGAGGTGCCTAGTGATAGTGAAACTACATAAGGCCTACTGAACTTTAAACTTTCTAAGCAGACAAAACAAGTTTTCACCTGTTTTGAAAGCAAAACTAAATTGAAATGATACTCCCTAGATCCCAAAAGAGTCTTTATTCTTATTCTGTGCTGAGAGATGATCTAAAATGACAAATATGAGGGGTCTAAGTCTTTTAGAAATAATTTTAATCTGATCGTCAAACCCAATATTCTAATTCGTGAAGCGAATTAACCATTTTCATACACCCACATTTTCATGTGGACATATATTGTCGTCGCCCCTGTCTGTCCGGACGTCCATCCACAATTTGAAATATAGGTTTATCTCCAAAAGATCTTGGTTGCTTTCGATATTGGCATGTATCGGATCGAAACTTCATGGATTATGGCCCCTGTTTGTACGAAAAATCACGTTTTTAGCTTGTGGACCCTATAGAGGTCACAACTTTTATCAGATTTTGTTGAGACTTGAAATCTATGTTTATAACCTAAAGATCTCAGTTCCTTTCGATATTCGCGCATATCGGACCGTAACTTCCTGAATTATGGCCCCTGATTGTACGAAAAATCACGTTTTTAGCTTGTGGACCCTATAGAGGTCATAATTTTTATCCTATTTGGAAAACCCTATTATTATATCACCGTTACACCCTAAGGACGGTTGAGTTTGAATTTCGTGAAAATCTGCCCAAAACTGACAGACAAAATGGCCGCCCTTCGTTCTCAAATAGCGTAAAATATGTTATATAAAGGTTGTGGACCCTATAGAGGTCACAATTTTTATCCAATTTTGTTGTAACTTGAATGTAAGTTTATAACACAGAGATCTCGGTTCCTTACGATATTTGCGCATATCGAATTGTAATTTCCTGAATTATGGCCCTTGATTGTAGGAAAAATCGCGTTTTTAGCTTGTGGACCCTATAGAGGTCATAATTTTTATCTGATTTTAAAAAACGTTTTAGTGTATCACTGTTACACCCTAAGGACGGCTGAGTTCAAATTTCGTGAAAATCGGCCCAAAACTGACAGGCAAAATGACCACCCCTCGTTCTCAAATAGCCTAAAATATGGAATATCAAGGTTGTGGACCCTATAGAGGTCACAATTTTTATCCGATTTTGTTAAAACTTGAAATGTAAGTTTATAACCCAAAGATCTCAGTTCCTTTCGATATTTGTGCATTTCGAATTGTAATTTCCTGAATTATGGCCCTTGATTGTAGGAAAAATCACTTTCCTTTTAGCTTGTTCTCTATCCATCTCTCGAAAATGTGGGCTTATCCTGCCTGGCAGCCGCTGGTGTTCTCATTTTGAAGGCAAAATAAAATTAGAACACTACAATGTACATCCAAAATGATTATATATTTGTAATCTACACAAAAAGTCACTACAATGTACATCCAAAATGATTACATATTTGTAATCTACGCAAAAAGTCACTGTAAATAGACACCTTTGAGCAGTATAGGTCATTTAGAAGTTATTTTAAAATCAATGTGAAAAGTCAACAATTTTCATAATAGCCATTAAAACTTCATCACCACACAGATTTCAATTGCCAATTAAAAATATAAGCCATCAAATACACAAGATGGACTTTAATGTATGTTATAATAATTGAAGTTTCATTATCAAATTTTTCAGAATTTTAACCTCTGTCCCACATGACCAAAATTGAAGGTGAAAATGGGTATATGTTGTACATTTTCAATGTGCATTTAATTTCAAGGCTGGATATTTGGAAAAGTATTTTCCCATCGACCCAGAATCTTTTGTAAATTGATAAAAGACGAACTGACATTAACTATGTCATTTTTGGAGTTTGTGTATACACAATAGTGACTTTGCCAGAGGCTGTGGAAATCCTGAAAATAAAAGTGATTAGTTCATTAGTTCTACATTTTGTCACCTAGTGGCGCGAAACGTATGCATTGGACAATGAGTGTGATGCTAAATTCGTAATCTACACCAAAATTTGTCGTAGATTACAAAGTTAGAGAGTTCTACTCCTATTAGAAATGTGAGTTTAAAGCATCCAAAAACTTGAAAAAAAATACTGAATTTATGATCGGTTTCAGTACCCTAATTGTCCCCCGCCTTTCGAAGAAAGCAGGGGACTATTAAAATGGGTTCGTCCGTCTGTCTGTCTCCTTCTGTCTGTCTGTCCATCACACTTTTTTGGACACAATAACTCCCCTTCTTATTGAGCTAGAATGTTCAAACTTGGTGTAGGTGTTTTATTAGGTCAATGCCTTGATGGATCTCGAAGATGAGCATTTTCTGCTCAGGGTAAGCAGAGATAAGCAATTTAATTAGTTGATGCTTTGGGACACGATAACTTTAGTTCTAATTAAGTGAGAGTGAGGACACTTGGTGTATAGGTTTATCATATCAGTACTTTGACTAAGTTCGATAATGAGCACTTTCTGCTCAGGGTAAGCAGAGCGATAAGCAATTTGATTGGTCGAGACTTTGAAACACAATAACTCTTCTTCTAATTGAGGTAGAATGTTCAAACTTGGTGTAGACGTTCATTATGTGAATGCCTTGATCTAGTTTGATGATAAACATTGTCTGCTTACCGTAAGCAGAGATAAGCAATCTGAATGGTTGATGCTTTGGGGCACGATAACTTTGGTTATATAAAGAATCTCAAAAAGGAAAAAGAATTATTAAAATCGGCAAAAAACTCGCTAAGTTATAATGAGAAACATTTCAACCAGGCAAAATTTGTTGTTATTTGTTAGGAATTAAATCGGTCAAAAACTGCCCAAGTCATAACGATCAGGCATAACTTCCCATCAGTCTTAAAGAGAACAAATTTATTAATGAGGTTATCAGGGTAATCATTTCAACAGGGCAAAGTTTTCAGTTTTAACAGTTTAAGTTGCACACTAGAAATTTTCTCTCTGGTCTTGTTTGCCGTATTAAGATTTGTAATCCATGTGGTGGAAACAGGCGTAATGGAGACAGGTAATTTATTTTACACCATTTGTGTTCTTTTTACAGCTACAAGTATTACTAATAATTGATATAATTATATTTACAGAACACACAGTTTTACTGATCATAGAGGAAAACAACTACATTTTTCTATTAAAAAAGGAACTGATGATACTATATGGTGGAAAGGTTTAGCCAGAGTTCGATGTGTAAAGGTTTGTAATTATATGGAAGCCTATTGCAGCCATTTCATAATCTTGACTTCTTGCCACGAAAAGTCGAGGGCGAGAATGCGAAGGAGCAAGAAGTCGATGGATAGGATAAAAAAAAACAAGGTCCCATGTCCGGAATTGAAATGAAGTGGTAGCTACGCGGTGGCTCAGTGAGTAGGATGTTTACTCTCTTACTTCATCAAAGTTCATCGGTATTTTTCTGGCAAGGTTCCCCCTTGTCAGTGGTGTAGGACGGAGGGCCTGGCAAGGGATAAAATCCCATATTCAGAATCAAAATGAAGTGGGAGCTACGGTGGCTCATTGAGTAGGACGTTTGCTCTTTTACTTCTTCAAAGTTCATCGGATTTTACAGGTAGGGTCCCCCCAAGTTAGTGGTGTAGGATGGAGGACCTGGCAATTTACAACGTATAGTAGTTTGGATGGGATAAAAAAAACGAAGTCCAGTGTCTGGAATCGAAATGAAGTGGGAGCTACGGTTGCTCAGTGAGTAAGATGTTTGCACCCTAACATCATCAAAGTTCGTCTTGATTTTTCTGGCAACGGACAACGTAGAGCTGGGCGATATTTCGTTTTTTCGATATAAGTTCGTCACGTGACTTCTCGCTCACTTTTCTACCCGACCAATACCGTTATAATTATCCCTGCTTCTATTCAATTTCTTGACGAATGCTTTGATTTTCCAAAGGAATCATTGCTTTTCAGATTGAATTAATTTTTAATAAATGCTGAAATATAAATAATGCCAACTATATTGAGAGTTCCGGTAGGCTGATTATCATTCAGCGTCGGATGTATCATAGCGGTCCGTGATCCGGAAAAAAATATTGGACTAAATGGTAAATGAATAGCATTCAATGATTCCAATCGTACCCGTACGGGTAGTTATAAATAACATACACAGTCATAAGAATAGAAGCTTTTTTTTAAAAAAAATTTTGTGCCGTCTTCATGTAAATATTCTTAATTTAAATGAAATATCATAATTAATATACTGGAAATTAAAATTCTAATAAACAACATAGACCAATATTTTTAGTAAGTCTTCATGGCTATAGACAGATCTGTGTTTGAACCAGCTCATTAAATTTTGTTTGTAATTATTAAAAACTCTTAATTATACTGACTAGAAAGTGTCAAGTGAATACTCCGGGGGTATTTTGAACACCTTAATAGATATTTTTATTACATTTTAAAGCGATAAACTGAAATCATTGACATTTTATAAAATATCGCGATATAGTGATTATATTGCGATATTTTAAAAAAATATTGCGATATCTGTTTCCAGGGATATCGCCCAGCTCTAGGACAACGTATAGTCATTAGGATGGGAAAATAAAAAAACAAGGTCCAGTGTAGACACACACGTGGGTGAGGGTTTGGGGTCTAGTGGTTTAACACGTACTCGTAAAATCGCGAGGTTTGTCATTGATTCAGGTGGCTTGGTTTCGATTCCCCACTTGAATGTGACAAGGATTCGAAAATGAAATGGGAGCTACGGTGGCTCAGTGAGTAGGTTGTTTGCTCTCTAACATCATCAAAGTTTGTCTGGATTTTTCTGGCAGCGGACAACGTATAGTCATTCGGATGGGACAAAAAAACGAGGTCCTGTGTACCCACTGGTGTGGGTGCGGGGTTGAGGTCTAGTGGTTTAACATTTTAGCGTAGAATAGCGAGGTTTGTCATTGATTCAGGTGGCTCAGCTTCAATTCCCCACTTGAACATGACAAGGAAAAGGGTTGTCTGTCCAACCTCGTGGGTTTTCTCCAGTCCTCTGGGTTCCCCCAACTGCTAAAGTCCCTACGCGCTGGTTTGTGTCAAGTGGATGATAAACCTCTAGATAGAACTTAGTTTCAAGATCTGTTCTCATTTTATCAACCATTGCGTGCTTTAAGATCAGCCAATCAACTGCAGTTTGCAGTGCCATCAAAATCAAGAACCATGTATGGAGATCATGCTTTTCTGCGATGTGGTGTAGTTTTTATACACCCACATGGAAATGTGGACATATATTGCTGTCTCCCCCGTCCGTCCGTCCGTCCGTCCATCGTCTACAATTTCTTGTGAACGCCAAAAGTTATGATCCAATTGTTTTTAAATTGATGGAAGTTGTTGACATCAGTGAGATTAAGAAGCCTATTTAATTTCAATAATTTCTGTTTATTATGTCTAGAGATATGTCCCTTGCTTCTCTTTGTTGGACCTTGTGAACGCTCTAACGCCAAGAGTTATCATCCGATTATTTAGATTAGTGAAACGAAAAAGCCTATTAAATTTCAGCAATTTCCATTTATTATATCTAGAGTTATGGCCCTTGTTTCACTTTGTTGAACCTTGTGAACACTCTAACGCCAAAAGTTATCATTTGATTTGTATGAAATTTATATGCATCATTTAGATTAGTGAAACCACAAAGCCTTTGAATTTCAGCAATTTACAATAATTACTTCTAGAGTTATGGCCCTTGTTTCACTTTGTTCAACCTTGTTAATGCTTGATTGATGAAAGTTATCATCCGATATGTATGAAATTGATATGCTTCATTTAAATTTGTGAAACAGATTTCTATTTAATTTCAGCAATTTCCATCAATTATTTCTAGAGTTATGGCCCTTGTTTTACTTTGTGAACCTTGTGAACGTTTAAATAACAAAAGTTATCATCCAATCTGTATGAAATTTATATGCATTATTTAAATTAATAAAAGCCTGTCAAATTTCAAAATTTCCTGTAAATTACTTCCAGAGTTAAGGCCCTTGTTTCGGTTTGTAGAACCTTGTGAACCTTCAAACGACAAAAATTATAATCTGATCTGTATGAAATTGTCTTGTAAATGCCCCCAATTACCTACAAAAGAATAAATATGTGCCAACACGTGTCGACCGCTCGGACGATTTAGCTGCTGTGGGCATATGTTTACTAAGTTTATATATATTCCATTCAGTCATCATCAAGAATGATTTTGACTTGAGAGAGCAATGAGGATTAAGGTCCATTCAATACAAACTAGGTAATTTTGGCACTAACATATGATACAGTTTTATTTCAATAGACCATGTTACAAGCTTGTAATGGAACAAATGCCACTTAACTCTATGACATACATTATGATCTAAACCGTATGTGTTAGATCACTTTTGACTTAACCAAGAGACAAGTTTACGAATGTCCAATGATATTTACGCAGAATAAATCTTATCCATGAATATGATATCGTAATCAAAGAAACAGGTTTTAAGGACAGGAGGGATTGTAGATGATCGAGTAACATTGAGCCATAAATACATGATCAGCATGACTACACATGCTAAAACTAATTACCATTATATCTTTCAAATTTTTAAAAAAATTTTTTTAAACATTATTTTTATTCATTAAATCTGAATTTGGATTGGGGAACAGGCTATGCCTATGTGTAACAATGGATGGAATGTTAGAATTGCATTTGTACACATATATAGAGATGTTAAGTATGGCATTGTACGATTGGTGCGTCTCTCCACTGTCGACTATCTTTAAATGACAGCTGATTATCATCTTTTCTTCCATGGTTGGTTACTTAAACGTGTCAAATAGGTTATGTTTGTCAAACATATTTTAGCAATTAGACCACACTTATTCCCATCTGTATTTAGAAGCCGATCAATGTATAGAAACATTTGGAAGTTTTAATGGAGAGTGACTGAAAATCAGGAGACAACATACATTCCATATTGAAATCTACTGAAGGAGAAGATGAAATATATAGGACAAAACATCATTACAATAATGGGGTCCCAAAACTAAGAAAATAGGAAGGCAGGTCAGGATCTTAAGTGAACACTTCTGCTCGAACATAGGTATATGCTGGTGGTTGGCATGTGCAGTCAGATATCAAATGCCTCTCCATAAAAATTATGAACTTTCTCCCAGTGAATATAATAATATAATGATATAATATTTTATAATATGTGATGGCAAAACAAACATTTAACATACAGTAAATACAGCTATATACAATATGTACACATATTTATAATTATCTATCATCTATTTATTGTTTTGATATATAAAAGAGTAAATTGAATTATTATTATTTTTTCTAAATTAAGCATCTAATATAAACTATACTAAACAGGGGGGGGGGGGTGATGACCGAATGGTTAGCATGCGCGTGCTGTGTCATAAGGCCTGTCATTGAGTCAACTTGCGTGGTTTCGAATCCCCGGTTGTACGTGACAAGGAGTAGGGTCGCCTCCCACTGCTAAAGACCCCTACGCACAAGCAAATTATTGAAATAAAATTAAAACCATATGTTAGCCCCGAAATGACCTAGTCTGTGTCGAGTGGACGGTAAACCCCATTTCTCTCTCTCTCTATACTAAACAGCAAAAAAAAAAGTCAGTACGATTTCAAAATCAGAGAGGTACTTTAATCAAATCATTCTAGAAAACGACCTACTAAATGGATCAAAGCAATTTTTTGTAAACAGTATTGTCAGTATGTTGACACATTAGTGATTAATTCATCAAAATTCAAAGACTTTACGAGAAGGTTTCGAGTCTGTACACAGTCTATACATCAGTATCCGGTGTGTCCACCACTGACCACCACAAGTGTCAATAACAGCAGCGCAGCGTCTGTACATGGAGTGGACCAGACAATTGATGAACATCATTGGCAACTGGAGCCACACTCTAAGAAAAGCCTGGCACAATCCATCGGATGTGTTTAGTCTTGTTATGACGTTATTAAGTCTCCCCTGTATTTCATCCCAAAGATATTTAATCGGATTTCAGTCCGGACAAAGGGCTGGCCAGTGCATAATGTTGACACCGTTCTGCTGTAGAAAGTCCAGAGTAACTCGGGCGGTGTGGGCACAGGCGTTGTCATGCCGGAAAACGTTGTTTCGGTGAAGTGCGAAATGTGGTATGACGTGGGGTCTGAGAGATTGATCGATGTAGTGGAACATCACAGGACCCACTCTCTGGTTCAGGCCGATT